TCCCACTGTTCCCCAGTCTGTTCCCTCCCTATATCCCACTGTCCCCCAGTCTGCCCCCTCTCTATATCCCATTGTTTCCACAGTCTGACCCTACTTTATATCCCAAACCTACCCAGCGTGACTCCAGCCCGTGCCCAGAGTTTGTCCCCTCCCCGGTAGCCCCATACCTGCCCAACCTGGGGCACAGTGACACGTCCCAGTCACAGGGTGGCACCACAGTGCCCTTTCACAGTCACAGTATTTGGTGCAGTGCTGCCCATATCGATGATCCTGGGGAGAGAGAGGCATATTAACACAATCCAATCACTGAGGGCAGCAAAGGAAAGGAGAGCGTGCCCTTCAATATTGCTATCCAATTACCTTCCTCGTATATCCACTCCTTATCTCCCACTGTTCCCTTTCTCCCCTCTATATATCCCACTCTTCCCCCAGTCTGTCCCCTCTCTCTATATCCCACTGTCCCCCAGTCTGTCCCCTCTCTCTATATTCCACTGTCCCCCAGCCTGTCCCCTCTCTATATCCCACTGTTCCCCAGCCTGTCCCCTCTCTATATCCCACTGTTCCCCCATTGTCCCCTCTCTATATCCCACTGTTCCCCAGTCTGTCCCCTCTCTCTATATCCCACTGTTCCCCAGTCTGTCCCCTCTCTATATCCCACTGTTTCCCAGTCTGTCCCCTCTCTCTATGTCCCACTGTTCCCCAGTCTGTCCCCTCTCTATATCCCACTGTTCCCCAGCCTGTCCCCTCTCTATATCCCACTGTCTCCCAGCCTGTCCCCTCTCTATATCCCACTGTCCCCCAGCCTGTCCCCTCTCTATAACCATGTCTCTGCTCTCTGTTTGCAGGCCTATAGAACATGACGAGGTAAGTTTGGTTTACCGGGCAATGTTGGTCACACCTCGGACCATGCCAGCCTGGGAGGCAGGTACAAGAGCCATTAAAGCGATTACACGGCGCTCCATTGGCACACTGGCACGTGCCATTGCAGTCAGGCCCCCACTTTCCATCTGGACAAGGAACGCTACAGTCCGAGCCTGTCCACCCTGCGGGGAAAGAGGAGAACGGAGAGAACGGGGTCAGGATTGCTTGAGTAAAAGAGAGGCACAATCCCCCCACCCCTGTACCCGAGGGATAAGTATGTCCTGGGTGAGGGTAGGCTGGGTCTGCGGGGTGGGAATGTGGGCCTGCCGAATCCATCAAGGAAGGAAAGCAGCCTATTCCTTAAATGGAGAAAGACTGCGGAATTCTGCGCTACACAGAGGGCTCGGTATGGAGCTGCCGCAAGGGATGAGGAAGTTTTTCCTTTATTCATTCATGGGATGGTCAGGCCCAGCATTTATTATCGAAGGGACACTGGACCTGAAATGTGAACTCTCTGAGTTTTTCCCTTTCACAGATGCTGCCCGACCTGCTGAGCTTTTCCAGCAACTTCCGTTTGTGTTCCTAATCTTTGGAATTGAAGGAGAAAACCCACGCAGACTTGACGAGAGCGTGCAAACTTCACACAGACGGTCTTCCGAGGGTGGAATCGAACCCAGGTCCTTGGCGACCTGAGGCAGCGGTGTTAACCACTGAGCCACCGTGCTCCCCTGAAATCCCACAGCTCCCCACCAGCTACCTCCTGGTTCGGGAGAAATTTCCACCTCTCTCCGAAGTCGGCAGAGGATAGTTAAGAAGGCATATGGGACACTTGCTTTCATCAGTCGTGGCGTAGAGTATAAGTGCAAGGAGATAATGTTGGAGTTGTACAGAGTGTTG